TTTATTTACTTACTTATTTATTTATTTATTTATTATATTTATTACCTATACAAGAATATGTGCTGGTGCATTCTTACAAACAACTGGAACTGAGGAAAAAAAAAGAAGAAGACCTTCACGTTTGAAATCTTTGAGGGGCTTAGCCTTCCAAAATGATGCTGCCATAGCAACGACACAGAGTCCGTTACAAAAAAAAAGAAGAAGAAAACATCCAGACTCTTCTGAAGCAGATGAATGACTGCCACAGATGGATGCCGAAGAAAAATAAATGGATATGTCAATGAGAAATGAGGCATTAAAGGAGTCGTGCAGAGTATATATGATAATACAAAAGCCTACTGTCATTATCAGAGAGCGCAAGCAGTCCAAAACTCATCTTATATCATGTGTAGAGAGCAGTGTCCTATTAGTGCTGGGCTACTGGACAAACACATCGGCATTTACACTTTTTTTTGGTCAATAATTACAAGTAAACAATTCACTTCTTTCTAATTGCCACACACAGTGGTGCCTGCGTCCTCCCTGTCCTTGTTCTGTACCTGTGTCAAAGTGGACCAATTCTCATTGTTATCATTATTATTTGTCCTCTGCCATATGTCTACAATCCATTTGATCCAAAAAGCCTTGATTTCAGCCTGGTCAAACACTCAGTTTTAGACTGTTTTTTCTACTAGTGGCTGTGTGTGACCTCACTGAGAGAGGCCCGCCCTCATTTAAACATTCAGCTCACAAACCCCTCACATCTGCAAAGAACTGCCAATAAGAAGAGCTTTTGCTCACAGGGAGGGGCGGGGCAGTCGAAACCTGCTGGACAAGATCATATTGCCAGCATGTTTGAGTACAGTGACATAACACACCAGTTTGGACTGTGCTCATGTGTCCGATAAACTAACAAGCGATCCAGAAAACCATGCTAGGTAATCTAGCTGTGCGTCACCCGCTCTTCACAGAAACCAATGCACTTCAGTGTCTGCGCACTCTGACTATTAAACATTCAGACGCTTAAAGCACCCTTTATTCCATTTCTTACTTTGATCCATCAGCTTGCTAATTTTATCCTTTTTTGTAATCTGCCGCAGCGACGCACCTCCACTAACGTATTAGCAACGACCTGTGTCTGGACTGACAGGAGCCACTCTACCTCAAGAACTAAGAAGAGGCACGTTCCCATTTTAAGCCTCTTCCAATTCTTCAAGCTTTTCCGGTTTAAAGAGCGGCTCCACTGTTGAGCTAGTCCGTTTCAACAGCGTCACAGTCAATCGGTAAAACAGAGAAAACAGGTTCGGCTTGTGATTAGCAGTAACCCGGATGAGATCACAACGACTGGTCATCAATTTAGAATGTGTTTACAGGCCACGTAGTCCCGTGAAGGCGTAATGAGATTCAGTGATACATCCATTAACTCTATGTTCCACGCTCCTCTGAGTCTTAGATCCTTCATATGTGCAAACAGGCTGCCACAGTTATTTAATATTTCCCTGTTATACATCCAATAATTGTCCAGTTTGTCACAGTGCTTAAAGTTAGCTGGAGAGTAGAAGGCAAATTCACATGTATGCAGATTTTAAATTCTTCCAGTAGTCCTAAAAATGTCTTCATGCGCCTTCAAAGTAACGAGTGACACACATACAAACTTCTTCTAACAGAAGGAAGGTATGAACAACAGCGCCTCCCTGAGGACTTCTGTGTACACCCAGCTTTACTAATTCATTCCAACTTTGCTAGACAAACATTTAATTTCCCCAGCATTCATCAGATGAGTCTCCAGTTCTCCAGACAGCGCGTCAGCTGTCATAACGCTGAAGATCTCGCAGCCTAAAATTAGCACCATCTCCGATTACTCCACAGCGAGCAGGCTTCCTAACCCACTGGGAAACCTGCTGTCACTGATTTGTCAATAGCAAAAACTAAACAGTGAGGGACAAAATCAGACGCAGTAACACTGACAGGTAGGGCTTTTTAAAGCGCTGTGAAAGCGTGTGATCGTGATGACCATTTCATCGCACTCTGTCACAACACTGCCATGCATCTGTTGACTGCTTAGCGACCCGTGCTAGGAAACATCAATCTACCCGTCGGCATGCTTTGAACACTTCAGCCCCGTCTGCCTCTGGCTCTGCTGCATCTTGCCCGGGAGGGCTGGCATTGAGCAATGATTTCATGGGTTCTGCATGCATTTGATAAGGACACACACACACACAGAAACACCAAAAAAAAGTATGATTTCTTGCAAACAAAAGTATATAACAAGTTCCCATAAATGGATGAACAGTAAATGGCAGAAACACTCAATCGTATCTTGTGGGGCTGTGGTCAGTCAAAGAAAATCTATTTATGAAATGATACTGTACAATGCTTCAACCAAAAATCTGCTTAACTAAATCGACAGCACAGCACTGACTGCATTCTACCTGCTGCACTCTCCTGCTTTACCTTAATGAATTATAGATAAATATAAAAACCCAGCATATTAAATCATTTTAACCTAGTTATTTTACACTAAAGCAACACCAATGGACAGCTGACCTTCTGCCCATGTTTGTAAGATTTCCAAAACCAGGACTATGGTAACCGGTGATCCCAACACAAGATGAAGATGGCTAACAGGCCCCATTACATGCTTTTCTGTTTTTAAGGGGAGAGAAGGCTTCACATCCAGCTCGGTCTGGGTCTAGCTGCTGCTACTGGCAAATTCCAGAGCTGGAGAAGATGCTAAATGCCAAAGACACTGAAATATGTGCCAACTCTGATACATTTACTCCCAAAGCCTCAGGCCTGAAGCACAAAAGTTGGCCAGCCATTTTCAGAAGATATACTGTTTTGTTTGTTGAAGTGAGATATAGCTGACGCTTGACTCTTTGGCCTTTTTGGGGTTTTTTCCTCAGAAAAAAACTGCTATGCAGATACTCCAAAGTCTTATTTAACATGTCCCTCTTTTCCAATAATCTGTGGTTCTGAGAAACAGCCCATGTATGGACAGGTAAAACAAATGATTTTAACCGGAGAGTATCAAAGGCGGACACAGCTTCCGGGTCTACAAAGGGAAGTCAACACAAAGTGCCTTCAACCTGCATTCTTTCTAATGGCAGGCAAGGTGTGACTTTTCCACACAACCACAAAACGGTGCTTGGCTCCTTTTGTCTTTGACCTCAGTACACTTCCCTTTGTCCACTTTGCAAAGCTAACAATGAACAGAGCTTTCCATTTGATCAATTATGGTCATTCTAAGAGGCAGAAAGAATGATTATTCTGGACATGCTCATTGGCTCAGGATTTGAGATTAACAAGCTTTTATCCAATAAGTTTGTCCAGTTAGGGTGTTTTGACACCTATAGTTCGTTTACTGTGGTCCGAATTACTTGATGAGTTTGTTAACTTGTAGCTTCTTCCTGTGGTTTGGTTTGTTTTCACATAGAGAAAAATCCAAGCAAACAAAAATGCATGACTACAAACCACATGAGAATGAGTCCCCTCATTGGACAGATGGAGTTTGTTTGGAACCATACCGAGACCACCTCCTCCAAAGGATCTTGGTGGATCCACCTTTTGCTCTGTCTCAGACCGGCTTCAGCCACCCCCAAGACCGTATACTGGGTAAATGGTCATGGATCCAACCCAGAGTGCTGCTAATGTAACGTTTCCTTCAGAGGTTATACCTCTGGCTGTCCAACCAATCAGAATATGATCATATGTGACTCAACCCGACCAGCCAACCTCGAGATGACAGCGATAACATCTAGAGGCCGACTAATGCCAATTTTTAAAGAGTAAAAGATTCTGATCTTCATATACATATTTATACTTACATTTATACACTCTGCAATGCCAGGTGCTCAGCTGCAATGAGCACCGAGAGCATTGTAACAATGGAGCTAGGATGTACTAATGTCTTTCCCTCTATTTCATTTTTATCTCTCTCTGTGTGTGCGTATTGCTCGCTCACACAAATGTCTGCAATTCCTCAACAGACTGCATTAGCACGCCACCTTTATCCCCCTTAAACATCTCGGCGGGTCTTCAAAGTTTCTAGCCGGTCGCCGGCGAGGTAAATAACAACTCCTCTGTGACAACATCTATTTAGCACAAGGACACATTTCCACATATTTCCCTCTGCCTCCATTTAAATGCTTTCTCCCCACGGAGGAGATGTCCCTATCTGCTATATAGGGCAGGATAGCTGCCTAAACCAAGGAGAGCCTTCCCCTTCTCTGCTGTAGATAAGAACAGAGGTCTTCTTGTCCCTGTTGAATTCTATCATCTAGAAGGCCCTGCTGATCCGAATGCCCCACAACATCAGCCACAGCATATAAATGCACCCCATTCTTCGTGCTGTGTGTCTGTGTGCATTTATCTGTGTGTGTGTGTGTGTGTGTGCGTGTTTGTAGGGGAGCATTTAGGGGAATATGTTCTCATGGCCAAGGCGCTTCCTGGGGTCTTTTGAGAATAAAGGTCAGATGAAAACAGGCTCAATTTAAGTTGCTTGCGAGAATTCCCATGGTTTCCTCCTTCATCTCTATCTTCCAGATAATGCCAAAAAAAAAAGCACAATGAGCAATTCTCTGCAATCTCAGAGAAGCTCTATTGATTAGAAAATGCTACAAATGCTGCATGTAATCCAGGGGCACAGGAATAAGCTGAGCCTGACCGAATGGCAGCCTCTGTTTCTCTCATCCCACCAGAAGAGATCTGAGTGCAGGTCCCTCATTAATTGCACAGCGGATGCATCTTCTGTGTGATTATGGAGGGGCTCGTCTGCACGAAGTGTGGTTCATTCTCAACAGGTTCACAGCAAATATACATACTTTTTTTTTAAGGCTTGTTGGGGGAAAAGACTGCAAGTAACACAACATATAATTCATTCCAGGCATGTTTTTTAGGGGTGGGGGGTCAATGCATCCTCTCACTCAGCTGCTGACACACACTTTAGATATGAATCAAATTCGAAGAATTTTCAATGAGAATAACCTCAACCAGCATCCACCATGTAAACCTCAGCCTACCTGTTAATGTGGGATCCACGGGTGCTGGTAGGGCGCCAGATTCCCTCTGCTGTTCTCTTCTTCAGATTTCGTTCTTCTCCTTAAACCTTCCGCCAGCTCGCGGGAAAAACAAAGATAAAAATGAAAACAAATAAAAAGAAAATAGCTCAAATACTTTGGGGAGGGAGGGGAGGGGGGAGGTCCCCCTCGGCAGAGCTCTACCTCGTTCAGTCCAACCGGGCCGGCAGGTGGGACTTCATGGCTGGAGACGATGACAGAGTGGAGACTGAATCCCAAAAATAAAGCTGCCTCTACTGCAATACCCACCACAAACAGCTCGGTTTAGTAGGATTCTCCATACGAGCAGCCGAGCTCGGGTTGGTCCCCGCAAGAAATGAATTTCTCTGCTGACAGTCCAGCGTGCCACAGGACCAATGTCTCTTTTTATCGAGGCCTTTAAACTGCAAAATAACCCCGAAATAACCCGACGTGTCTGCGGGGACTCGGCGGATTTGACAGCCGGAAAGTATCACCTGTGTTGACCAGTGGTCTCAGCTACTCAGGTTTACTCTCTCGGACTGTGTTTTCTTCTTATTTTCCTAGGACGTCGACGATAAATCCAAAATAAATCCCAGTAAAGACAGCCAAGACGCTGCCGAGCTTCCGGCTCGGCTCGCTTTAGCTTGTGTCAGAAACGGCGGACGCACAAATCGCGGTGCTCCAGCAGTCTTGAAGAGAAGGATGCTGCCTCTGCCGCTGCTGCTGCTGCGAGGATGCCGTGACCGCTCCGGCTGGCCGTCGCGCGCTCGCGCACGTGCGCACCCTCGTAAGGCACGCAGGCAGGCAGGCAGCTACGCTCGTCCCCGGCGTGTGACGCGCGCCGCAGTGTCCTCCCTAGCAAGCCGGTCGCCCTGGCAACGCTTTCCTCTGACCTCAATATGGTCGCTTTTTCTATTAAAGCGTGCGGCGTTCAACGTGCTTTCGTTGACATGTTCACTTGCTAGTGACAATAGGTGTTAATCCGCCCTCTTGTATAAAGGGTGTTCCTTCTTCTCTTCAAGGGGACTAAAAAAATAGTGCTGAGGAGTTTCTTTTTTTTGTCGGCATCACTCTCCTCCTTTCCTCCGCTCGCACCCAGCCCGGCAGATCTGCATCAGCATGACGTCAGAGGACATTAAAGGGATACTATCCCTTTTTTTTTTACATCCTCTCCTCCATCACTCTGCATCTTTCTTTCCCTCTATCTCTTCACCATTCTCCTAACCTCCACCATTTCCTCATCCATCCACTTCAGTTCATACTGGCAGACTGGCTAGTGCTTACTGCAGAGACATATTTGAGGCGTGAATATCACATTGCCAGGGCCAAATGAGACAATAAACTAATTTTACAGTGAAATCGCGGGAGATAAAAATGACACTCCCGCCTTCACCAGCTTGCATGATTATTTATTTTATATTTTACTTTAAGGGATAATAATCATCAAACATCCAGCACGGCTGGGTCCCTGATCTCATCAGTGCAGATGGTAATGGCAGTGTGGTGGCAGCACCTGCTCCTCTGGATGCAACACAGCCACATGCCTGTCTTATTACCGGGTTCGTAACACAGCCAAACATCTGCCTCCGTCACTATTCCACTGCAGAGCCATGTATCCACAGTTGGTGGCTGATGCCTGCCAGGAATTCCCAGCTCGCTGAATAAAACTTTTCTTTTTTTCTTTTTTTTGCTCCATCGTCACCTTCTGCTGTTTGCAGTCACTTTAGTTAAAGTATAGTCTAACAACGATAACTCCTAGGTACAGCCAGCTGATGCCTGTGCTCCCAGACAGATTTATGGCTTTACATCCGTTCACTATTCACATCCTCATAAACCACAGAGAAACAGGCTGTTTCTCCACCCATGTGGGGAGCTGATCTGTTGTCAGTCAGCCAAAACATCATGTCCACCCGTCTTGCTTTTTACCTTCAGACATCTCAAAAACACATGAGAGGAGGCGGAGAGAGAGAGGAGGAGGAAAGGGGGAGAGCGGACACTGTGGGGCTAAAATTTCCACTATTGAGACAAATGGTCTCTGCCGGTCGATGTTCATTCCCCCCTTTTGACATCCCAAGGCCAATCTGAGGAGGCAGAGGGCCTGTAAGTGCGTGTCTGCATGTACAGCCGTGATTTTGATGTCCTACACTTGATAGACCCTAGCCAGGCATCAGAGGTAATGGCCCACCAGGGAAACCTGATACCTGAGCCTGCATGGACCATCCATGCCTGCACGCAGCTCATTCCTAAAGCCGTGATGCTCTTTTGTTAGAGGTCAGTTTTGCGGTTGTTAAGCCCCGGTGGGAGCTGCTGTCCCGAGCAGAATTCATGTGTTTATGTGTGTGTTCCAACATCATTAAAGCCGGTTGTGCTTGATTACTGCAGCTCTCTGCATAACTGACCAGCCAACCGCCCCTTTGATGTGCCCCTGGGGTCCCTGCAGACACCCACCTCAGATTCTTTTCTTCTATTGTCTGGATTTTCAAAAGAGAGCTACTTTAAAATGAAATAGTTGGTGCCCACAAGGGAAAACAATGCTTTGAGACTTACAGGGAATACACTGTTACACTGATGTGGAAAAAAAATAAGTACATCCAGTGGGGATTTAAACTTTTTCATCATATTTTTTCCATCAAAGTATGAATTCTGCATCTTAAATCTCCAAAAGAAGAGAGCACAGTTATAGAAAGGCCTGTTCAAAGCCCAGATTTGAATCCAGCTGAAATGTTGGGGGATTTAAAATGAGTTGTATATGCAAGGAAAGCCATAAATCCTGCATATGAAGGGAATTTGAGTGATTCCAATCTTTTGACATCCAACATCTTAGCCACTCGTTTATTTTTCCTTGCATCCAGTTATGTTTAGGATCAGTGTTAAAATTCTCAGCCTCATATTCTGAGCATTTCACAGTCAGGCTGATCTCACTATCGTTCTTTATGTTGCCTAAAACTCTACCTAAGCTTTCCAGTGTATCGTAGCCGATTCTGTGGTTCAAAAATCAGCTAAGATATGGATGCATCAGACTTTTGTATTATGCTTTTTTAATTTGTATTTCTTGCACGTGCAATAAATATATCTGTATCACCTTTATTTCCAGTGGTCTTTGTTTTGATTTTGAATCCAGTTTTCTATTTTTCCTTTAAAAATCTGCCTTCAAAATCATTTATGCATGCTGTGTATTGACTTTGCAACATGCTTTGCTTGTTTAGAAGCAGAGGCTGAATTAATAACGGATACGACGCTAACTTAAGAGGCCAAAGTATACATAGTTTTTTTTCCACCAACGCTTTTTTACAGCTATTATCTTTAAATACATAAACAAAGGAAAAGCAAGCTTCTGTTCTTCAAGTACACTACTAAAAAGCTTGCAGTTTTTTCCACCAATAATTTTTACATCCATTGACGTAAATCAGTTGAAGTAATTTTCTTTGTAGTGTTGTTTCTTTGTAGTGCAAAACTAACAATTTAGCTTGCACTTGCTACAAAATGTTCCTTTTGTACTACAGCCAGTAATGCAAGTGTTTGAGTCCAAAGTGTACTTACTTATTTCACTGAATAATTTCACACATAGTAATAAATCTGTTGAATAAATAAGTGAAAAAGGCTAATTATCCTTATGCTACTGTTGAGGTAGACCACCAAGAACCTAAAAATGTCGCTGGAAAGTATTAAACTGTTACGGTTCTGGGTCGGTGTTGACCCAGCATTTTGAGTTTCTTATATTTTGGTTTATTTTTGCATTATGGATTGTTTTCTGATGTTCTGGTGCTTTGTTTATTATTATTAT